CCCCACTTTCGGTTAAAGTCTACTTCAGAATTTTTTCAAAAGATGCATGATTAATGGGCGTCGAGCTCAGTGAGCATAGGGCAGGAGTGGGCGTGGCCAGCAAGGGAGAAGGGGAGCGAACAACTGTTGTTGACAGTTAGCTCACAAAATGAGACACAAACCATGAGGAGACGCAAGAGTTTATAGTTCACAAAGTTAAAATGCAAAGAAATAAACAGTAATTTAATGCCCTGCTACATTTGTTATTCGTAATTTCATATACACATAACCACAATTTATATCATTATAAAAATAAGTGTGTCCATGTAAACATGTATGAGGATTCTCCCTCGATCCCCGGGTCTAAATTATTGATCTGATTGCAGACTAAGTGCAGCAGGTCTCCTGACCTGCCTATTTTAACCATTAGCCCTGCTGGTAATATAGAGGACACAGCAGCACGGCGATGTGTCTGAATGTGAACGAACTCCTGATAAAAGTCAACGTACGCCATTCTTCAATTCTCGTACTGCTCTCCCGACAAAAATGCTTGCAGCACACACACAGCTTTGCTGAATGATCGGCCCTGACAAGATCGCGGGGAAAAACATGCAACTAACCCCGTGGATCATGGAAACAAACACATACGAGCCTTCATGAACGGCTACTGCGTGCCGTGGGTCTGTGTCTCACAGCTTGCTTGAAACTCGCAGGTCTGCCTTGCCTTCGGAAAGCACATGCTCTCATGAATAATTAAGCAGCCGGCTCTTCTCATAGGATAAGAAAACTCCGCTATGAATAATAATGAGAAACCGACGCATCATCATTGCACTTGCAGTACTGCGGTACGTCGCCGATTTTGATCCCGCCCCAAAAATCATTTTAAACCCGGAAGCTGAAATTAGCTGACAAAAGCTCAAAATTATCCAGTTTTCCCCACAATTAAAGCTGACAGGTGCTAACATAGTGTTAACTGTGCTCAACACACACACATCTGTTAATATAAAAATAAGTTCTCCAGGGTGTCCTGAACCTTTAAAATAGGATACATATCCTTCCCATTTTGAGGCCCACCGCAACGTGACGTAGGAGTGAGGTTTTCCTTGCGTGTAATCATATCCACAAGACAGGACGTGCGAAAAAAGCAACTGGTATTAAAAGATCTGTTCAGCTCTCTGTGATCATCAATCATCATCAAACGTAACATTTAATCAGGTTGTTTTATACATTAACAAAACGGATATCCATACAGCAGAGAATATTAACATGTATCGTGTCACATTTAACTTGTAAAAACTAAACGTGTATGTGTGTGTGTGCATGCACGTGAGTGTACTTAATAACGACATTGTGTGAGACTCATTGCTGCAGAAAGGCTTGATTTAACTCCACAACAAACATATCAAATAACCATTGGGAAAGTCCTCACTGTAGTAAGGGAGATCTGCTTCCTTCTTGTCTGTCACTGTGCTGTTTGGCCACAGAAGGCTGTGGCTCTGACATGCATGTGGGAATGGTGGGCGGGGAGAACCACCTAATTTGCATTAAAGGCACAGGTAACAAAAACAGCTAAAATGTCATAACAGCTCAATTTTAGATTATAAATTAGTATTCAATAATCGAATTTTCATTATCTGATTAAAAAAAATTATAGTAAATACTGTAAAAAAAAATCCTAGTACTGTTAAATGTCATTTGGGAAATATTTAAAAAAGATTTCACCGAAGGGCTAATCATTTTGACTTCAACTATATCCAAGTGTGGAGCATAAATTGTCTGAATACAATGTTTGAATGGTACATCTCTAGTTATCTGTCAGTGTATTGTTGTTTGTGGCTGACCCACTGTGGTATGATCTCACAGGGACATGCAGTGCTGAGCAGACAGAGCCAGTGCCTTTCGTGATCGAGTGGATCCCAGACATCCTTCCACACTCACAGGTGGGAGAGCTGAGGATCCGATTTGAGTACGGCCATCAGTTGGGCAGTAAACCAGAGCATTGCAAGAGCTCTGCTGGGACAGAGAGAACTGAGCAAACGATTGCAGACGCCATCACTCAGCAGTGAGTAAGTTACAGTAGAAGACTAAGATTATCATGCAGTTTAGCAATTACAATTCACCATTGGCTTGAACGTTGTGGACATTTTTTATTGCACTTAGGAAATATGCTGGCAATGAGGTGCTACTCAGGAAAATGGTCATTGTTATGTTACAGACAAACTGTTGTAAATATTACAGCTCTAAATATATAGAAACAGAAACAACCAACAAAATGTATACAAAATAATATAATGTGAAATGTTTTCTGCTGTTCAAAAATTATTCATACTCATAAGTTTCTGAATAATGGAGTTTTAACAGTTTTGTTTATGAACACAATCTCCAAACTGTAGAAACTTGTATAGTTCAGCTGACAGTTGGAAAAATAACAATAAAAGATATTCATTTTACAGAAATCTTGTAATCTTGACACTCTTTAATGTTTATTTGTATAAAACAGAAACTGAGGTTTACTGAAAAAATGGCATTTGCTTTTTGTTCAAACTGCCTATTTACAATAAGCTGAAACAACATAATTCTTGAGTTTTTTGGGGACAACTTAATTGCTTTATGTTCAATTAAAATAATTAGTAAAACTAATAAGTTAACTTAATTCCTTGATGTTGTCCTAACACAAATTTATTGTGTGGAACCCAGCAGTTTCACAGTGTTAATTAAGAGTGTTGTTTTTATACTGTAAAAAAAAGATAAATTTTTAATTAGGGGTCGCCACAACGGAATAAACCACCAACGATTCTAGCATATGTTTCACTCAGCGGATGCCCTCCCAGCTGCAACCCAATCGTGGGAAAAACCCATACACTCTCACATTCACACACATACAATAGAGTCAATTTAGTTTATTCACATCACCAATTCCGCATGTCTTTTGACTGTGGGGGAAACCGGAGCACCTGGAGGAAACCCACGCGAACACTGGGTGAACATGCAAACTCCACACAGAAATGCCAACTGAACCAGCTGAGGCTCGAACTAGCAAGCTTCTTGCTTTTAACCAATGCTACAAGACTAAAGTATACAAAGGTATAATTACTTTCAGTTCACTATAGTTAATATACACTCATTGGTCACTTTTATTAGGTATACCTGTCCAACGGCTCGTTAAAACAAATTTCTGATCAGCCAATCACATGACAGCAACTCAATGCATTTAGGCATGTAGACATGGTCGAGATGATTTGCTGCAGTTCAAACCGAGCATCAGAATGGGGGAGAAAGGTGATTTAAGTGACTTTTAAACGTGGCATGGTTGTTGGTGCTAGACGGCTGGTCTGAGTATTTCAGAAACTGTACAACAATCTCCAGGGTTTCCAGAGAATAGTCAGAAAAAGAGAAAATACCCAGTGAGCGGCAGTTCTGTGGGAGAAAATGCCTTGTTGATGCTAGAAGTCAGAGGAGAATGGCCAGACTAATTCGAGCTGAGAGAACGGCAACAGTAACTTAAATAACTACTCATTACAACTGAGGTATGCAGAAGAGCTTCTATGGACCCACAACACGTCCAACCTTGGGGCAGATGGGCTACAGCAGCAGAAGACCACACCGGGTGCCACACTTGTCAGCTAAGAATAGAAAACTGAGACTACAACTTACACAGGCTCACCAAAATTGTACAATAGAAGATTGGAAAAACATTGCCTGGTCTGATGAGTCTCAATTTACTCTCAATACTGTGACATTTGGATGGCAGGGTCAGAATTTGGTGTCAACATCATAAAAACAAGGATCCATCCTGCCTTGTATCAATGGTTCAGGCTGGTGGTGTAATGGTGTGGGGTATATTTTCTTAGCACACTTTGGGCTAAACGCCATTGTCACAGCCTACCTGTTGCTGTCTATGTCCATCCCTTTATGACCACAGTGTACCCATCTTCTGATGGCTACTTCCAGCAGGATAACACGCCATGTCATAAAGCATGAATCATCTCAGACTGATTTCTTGAACATACCAATGAGTTCACTGTACTCAAATGGCCTCCACAGTCAGCAGGGTTCAATCCAATAGAGCACCTTTGGGATGTGGTAGCATCATCGGGAGATTCGCATCAAGGATATGCAGCCGACAAATCTGCAGCAACTATACGATGCTATTATGTCAATATGCATAGACATGAGATGTTGCCTACCCTGTTGTTGTCTACTGAAAGGAATGTGTCAATAGAGCCGCCATTTTAGTACAGGGTATTGCTTAGCTGAAATGAAAGCCTAGTATTTAGTGCAAGTTTGTGCTACTTTGCCTTATGGTGAATGCAGTAAGTGACTGTATTATCATCATCGATAACGTTACCCGTTTAGCACAAAAGTTCATAACATACAAAAACATAAAAAACTAAATCCTACCTATGAAATGTTCTGCCTGTGTGCTATGTTTTCTTTGTTTGCTCGTTACTACACCCGTAGACAGCGCTAAAGTCCAGAATCTTCACATGTCACTGTCTTGACTAGTGCGGTTGAATGACATTTGTCCTGGGAGCACTGTACAAAAATGGCGGCTCTATTGACGTATGCGACATCTAGTGTATATATCTATGGTCAATATGGACCAAAATCTCTGAGGAATATTTCCAGTACCTTGTTAAATCTATACCATGAAGGATTAAGGCAGTTTTGAAGTCAGAAGTGGTCCAACCCCATACTAGTAAGGGGTACCTAATAAAGTGACCGGTGAGTGTACAGTATGCTAGCATTCATTAATAAAGTTTTGTAAATATTATACATAGCTTACAGTAGACTTTACTACAGTATGGTTCAAAAACGTTGTATTTTTCATGTGGGATTGGACATTAAGCAAGTTTTCGACAAGTTCCTGAGAGTTCTTCCGGGCTGTCGCACACGAACCTCCTGCCCAAGAGATGGCGCTAGTGACCTTTCTGAATCCATCACTGTGTGTCTGCGAGGGAAGGAAGGACTAGGAGCTTAGGAAATAAACAAAAGACGATCTCAGATAAATAAATGTTTTTAAGGTTAACCAAAACAGTTTAAATAACGCGTTTGCAGAGTTTAGGTTGATTTGCACTAAAGGAAGGTCCGAATGGATATGAATTGCGACCTATCGCTGCGAGTGAGCGTCTTCTCCGAACAAGGAGGAAGGAAATACATGGAGGATTTAACGGAGGTGATCGTGGAGCTGGAACCCACCGAAGATGAGTTGCAGGCGGCGGGACACGCTGATCCAAAGCCGGACCAAGAGCCGGTCTCTGATAGCGAACCGCCGGACTGCTCAAACAATCCTTTACCGGTTCTGATAACGTGGAGAAACCCGCTGTCGACCGAGGAGGCTGACGGTACGGATGAGCCTGGGACTCAACCGGCGGCGGCGGACAGCAGGAGATCGGTCGCCTTTTTTGCCGTGTTTGACGGACACGGAGGGCGAGAAGCTGCGATGTTTGCTCGAGATCACCTCTGGGATTTTCTCAAGAAGCAGCGGGGATTCTGGTCTAAGGATTACCGGAAGGTTTGTTCCGCAATTCGGAAGGGCTTTATCGCATGTCATCACGCGATGTGGAAAAAGCTTCGTAAGTCAATTCAACACCATTACACGCATATCAATTCAACAAAATCACACTCTTGTCAATTTAACACTATTACACTCGTATCCATACACCCGTGTGAACAACGTGACGTTTCCCGATATTGTGATTAGCTCCGATTAGGTTAACGTTATGATGTTCGACACTGCAATTTATCTTTAGGCAAGTTATAGCGACTGCAATCATGCATGTTAGTATCACTTTTAAGGCAAGATGGATTATAATAACATAGAGTTTGCGACTATATAAATTAGCTGTCAAGCTAGTAGACTTTTTTGAAATTGGGCGCCACTCAAACTACTTACTGCCGAAAAGACGAAAAAAAAAAATCGATCAGAAGGATCGTTCTGCGCATGTGCGGACCATTTTGACTGGCATTTCCACAACACCCTGTCATTTCCATCACCACACAAATTTTTTATCAAATATTTAAAAAGTTCTTATCACACATTTAAAACGTGTTCACAATTAATGAGTCCATGCTCTATTTAATATACACATTCAGTTCATTTATTTTCTAATAAGCTCTTAACCAAATTAATGTAAAATGTTTTAGTTTGACAGGTGGACAATTCAGCATTTGGTCCTAAGGGACTAATTTATTTCATTGACATGTGTATAATTATTGTACATTAGTAGTTGAATAATTGCCCATATAAACCATTTCAATGTGGTTTTGTCATTGGCTCATGAACATTTCCTCCTTGTTGACAAACTATTTCATAACTGTAACAAGAGGCTATTCAATCATATTCATAACTTAATGTTAAAACAGCTATCATAACATTATTTATTAATATGTGAATCTTTTTAGATTTTCAGAAGCTATAGAAATTAAAAATATACAATCGGAAATATGTTGGGACTGTTGTTTCTGTTTACATCCCTCAAAATGTCTATTATATGTACATACTGTTGGTTAAACAGTGGAACTATTTCATAAATGTTGTAGAACTTTTTCACAAATACAATAGATGTAAAGGAAAGATGCAAATACAATATGTTATTATTGCAATATATTTTATAATATAAATATTTACTTATCAAAGTTTGATATAATGGCAGAAGTAATGACTATTAAGAAAGAGCATGTCACTGTAATGAGAATTTCTGCAAGTATTGTCTCCAATGAATCAGCAAAACTTATAATTGCAAGATTAAATTAAGGTAAAGTTGGTTTTATATTCGCACATTAAAACATTATCCTAAATATAATTTCGGAAACGTGTTATTTGCATATTCTAGATAAATGGGGAAATCATATTAGCTGTCAATGACTACCAAAGAACAACATTATTCACAGTCTATTATACGATGCTAATGTTGTTTTGAAGTCATACTTTAATGCAATTTTAGACTGAATATTCAAAGTAGCATGCCACATGTTTTTTTATTTTTAATTTTTTTTAAAGAGAAATATGTGACTATAAATCAAACTCTACCAGAATCAAGATTAATAAAGGGATAGTTCACCCAAAATGAAAAGTTACTCATTATTTACTAACCCTCAATGTGGTTCCAAACTTTTATGAGTTTCTTTACTATCATGAAAACTAATAAAGATATTTTGAAGAAAGCTGAAAACCTATAACCATTAACTTCTATAGTAGTAAAAAAATTAGTAAAAAAATAGCACTATAGAAGTCAATGTTGGTTACAGATTTTCAGCTAAATTAGAAACTGTTTTTAACAATGGCGAGTGAATAATGACAGAATTTTCAGTTTTGTGCAAGCTATCCATTTATTAACGTTAATATTGACTTCTCATTTTGGCTTATTTTCTTGTGGTGATAATCTTCATCATAATGACTTCATCATAAAAACCTTAGGAACGGACAGTATAACAGAATTGTTTAGAGGTTTTATACCTTGACTTCTCCAAACCTTATCATCCCATGCCTACCTATAATAATCACTTGCTATTAAATGAAAAGGATAATTATGAGAATTTATAAATCTTCATGTACACACTAGTGACATCTGCTGGTAAAAACCGTGTAAATACGAGAAAAATGAGGCACTCTGCAGAGTGATGATTTTCAATAAAACGTAATCTCCATTATCATAAACTAAAAATAAATATTAATCTCTCATTATTATGAGATGTTAGTTTAATGTTATGTGAATGTTCCTCATTACTGTGACTTGTAGAATGTTTTTTTTCCCCCTGCAGCCATAAATAGTAGTAAGTAGTAGTTTACCATGTGTCTATTCTTCAGCTGAATGGCCCAAGACTTTAACTGGTCTCCCCAGTACTTCGGGCACTACAGCCAGTGTGGTGGTCATCAGAGGGGACCATATGTTTGTGGCTCATGTTGGGGATTCATCTGTGGTTCTGGGCGTGAGGGAGGACCCCTCGGATAAGGTCATCAAAGCTGTGGAGGTCACTCAAGACCACAAGCCCGAGCTCCCAAAAGAGAAGCAGAGAATTGAGGGACTGGGAGGAAGGTGAGAAGTTTGAAACCTCTGCACTTTAGTTTGAAGTTATCATAATTGATGTCTTTAAGAGACAGTTCACCCAAAAATGACACTTCTGTCATTGTTTTCATTACACATTACTTATTCCAAACCTTTTTGAGTGTCTTTTTTTCTGTTGAACACAAAAGAAGTTATTTTGAAGAATGTTGGATTGTTTTTTTTCCTTTTTTATGGATCTTAATCTCGTATAAATCTACCAAGTTTCATAAAAAAAGTAAAAATATCCGTCTATTTTGTGTTCAGCAGAAAAAAAAATCCATTAACGTTTGCAAACACTCAAGGGTGAGTAAACAGTGATTGATTTTCCTTTTTTTTTGTGAACTATTCCTTTAACGTGCTGTCGTAAAACACACCAACTGACCACTATTGTATTTCATACACCCAATTAATTAATTTTATTGTTTTGTGTTTGACTGTAGTGTGGTGAAGAAGTCTGGTGTGAACCGTGTGGTGTGGAAACGACCTAGGCTAAGTCACAATGGACCGGTCAGGAGGAGCACCCCAATCGATCAGATCCCCTTTCTCGCTGTTGCCAGGGCTCTGGGTAAACACTCTATTACACTGTATCCCAGCTATAATAAATATGGAGTATTAAGTGATCTGTACTGACTTTAGTTCTCATTAAAATGGCAATAACCTTTTCATAAAGGGTAGCAAACTTAAATAATTAAATTCAGCCATCTTTTACTCACTTTTCACTTGTTCCAAAGTGGCTGTTAGTTTCAAACACTAACCTACCACAGCCATATCACCCAGCAGCCCAAGACTGGTAACTCGCTGAAGCTTAGCAGGGCTAAGTCTGGTTAGTATCTGGATGGAAGACCACATAGGAAAACTAGGTTGCTGTTGAAAGTAGTGTTAGTGAGGTCAGCAGGGGCGCTTAACTGATTGGTGGGGTTTAGGAACAAATTAATTGCTGAACAAATCATATGGGAGTCGTTGGGATAATTAGGTAAAAATAAATGCATATTATAAGACAATGAAAGTGTGTTTTGAACTTACATGCATATCAGCCTGTTGTTAGAGACCCCCCAAACCAAAATATTACCCTTTTTAATGCATAATAGGGGTCTTTAAGTAAGGACATACAAAATGTGCAGGACGGAGGGTCCCGAGGACTTCAGTTGTGAACCACTGGCTTAAGTGTACCTCTACACTAATGTAGAGATGAAAACACCTGTTAGTTTGTTGTTTTTTCAGCATTTTGGTTTTTACTGATGATAAACAGTAATTTCTCTGATAATTACAGTCGATGTTTTGTGCAGGTGATCTATGGAGTTATGACTTCTACAGTGGAGAGTTTGTGGTGTCTCCTGAGCCTGACACCAGTGTGGTGACCCTGGACCCAAGACGGCATCGTTACATCATCGTTGGCAGTGATGGGCTTTGGAACATGGTGCCACCGCAAGAGGCAGTAACTGTGTGCCAGAGCCACGATGAGGCTGTGGTACGAACAGATTGTTCTCTAACTACATGAAATGCTGTAGTGATTCACCAATATTGATTTTTTTAACCATGGAAATTGTCAGATTTCATTCAAGTTTTCCAAGTCATTTTAATCTGCTTCAAGAATTAAATGTTTAAAAGACAACTTTGAACACACAACAAGGAAGAGTGATACAATTTCAGGTCTATCAAATTCCAGCCCTTACTTTTTGTCTTCCAGCTTTTCTTTAGCTGCAAACTTTCCATTTTCACCTATATTTTTCATGGTCACTGATGAAAGTAGTTCAGAAGTGCATAACCTTTCCAGTTATCTCAGAAGTTCTTCAAAAAATAAAAATGGTTCATGTTGTATTTTGCAAATCTACTTGAAACAGTTGATAAAATATATTACGATTACCCCATGTATCAACATATATATTGCAACAGGAAGCACACTCTGTTAACATACAGGTAGTGTGTATCTCCAAAACCCTCATTAACAACGCTGTGGCTAAATAATTATCCTTTTTTGGTAATCTGACACATTTTTTTACAGAAAATAAGGGATGGAAAGTAAGCTTACGACTGGCTGTTAGGTAGGCTATGTCAGACATGTTTTGCTATTCTTTTTGTTACAATATATTTAGACGTTAATGTTGTATTGATTTATTACTTATTTATTTGTTTATTTATTTATTTTTGAAAGGAAAAAAGACATCACAGCACATCCCATCACATAAAAGCAGGGGTCACCAACCTTGGTCCTGGAGGCCGGTGTCCTTGCACATTTGAGCTCCAACTTGTTTTGTTTTAGCACTCCTGCCTTGCCAGGTTTCAAGCATTTCTAGCAAGACTGATTTGATTAGCTTGTTCAGGGGAATGTTTTATAAAAAGCAGGGATTAAAGTCAAAAACTTTACTTCAATGAGTCAAACTAAACATCCACGCCTAAATTAGTTCCATAACAGCAAGTTAAAGATCATTTGATTTTACTAATCTGAGCTCACTTTAAATAATCTAGATAACTGCTCACGCACGTTACTTTTGTGAAACCTTAAAGGTCGAGAATAGATGCATCGATTGTGTTGTGTGCTACCATGGCAACTACGATGAAAGAAAGAGACACAGCTATGTTCACTGCGAATGAGCCGGGTTTGTTTTTAAAGTGTGTGTTGTGTCCTACAGGCGCCTTTTGGGATGTCGGTTGCACGTCGGTTGGGTTGCCATGCATTGATGCGATGGCGTCAGCGAATGCTTCGTGCCGACAACACCAGCGTCATAGTTATCGCCCTTCCTGAGCCTGGCAAACCACACTTACCTATGCACAGAGACGAGGTCATACTCAGCCTAGCAGAGGGTCCACACTGTGATCCAGCAACAGGATCCCGCTCCAACACGCCACTCATCAAGGTAAAGTCAAGAAGAGAAGCCTAAGCACTACACAAAACTGCTGGAGTTTTGAGGAAAGAAAATTGTTATCTTCGATGTTCTGCTTGGTGCTATCAGTACCCCAAAATTTTTCAATACTACAATCACAATATCAAAGTTTCAGTAGCCAATACTAATACCAGTAAAACTTGATGGTCCCTGTACTAACTGAAAACGATACTATTTTATTTAACTATCATTTTTTTAAAGAAACAAGTCACTTTTGACTGTAAGTTGCAATGTTAAAAAAGAAAAAAAAACACAGGTAATCACAATGGTGTATAATAAGTCACATTTTATAATTTACCTAAAGTACACATTTGTAAACATATAATATATATTCCTTCACTGTTCATTACATAAGTCAGACCCCTTAGTTTTTCAAAAAATTTTTTTGTTGATTTTATTTTTTGTATTTATAAATTAGTGATTGTGGTGGAATAGAATAGAAATAGAAATTTGTGGATAATTTTGCAATTAAAATTTGTATATGTCATTTATTCATTCAATTTTTTGTCAGCTTAGTCCCTTTATTAGTCTGGGGTCGCCACAGCAGAATGAACTGCCAACTTATCCAGCAAGTTTTTACGCAGAGGATGCCCTTCCAGCCACAACCCATGTCTGGAAAACATCCACACACACGTTCACTTACACACTCATACACTACGGACAATTTAGCCTACCCAATTCACTTGTACCACATGTCTTTTTACTGTGGGGGAAACCCACGCGATGGCAGGGAGAACATGCAAACTCCACACAAACGCCAACTAAGCTGAGGTTCGACCCAGCGACCTTCTTGCTGTGAGGCGACAGCACTACATACTGCGCCACTGCCTTGCCAGTATATATATATATATATATATATATATATATATATATATATATATATATATATATATATATATATATATATATATATATATTTGCTTGCTGTAAAACTTGTCAATGGCACTCACCTAAATGTGATCTCCCGTGGACAGTAGCAGACCCACAAATGAGATGCAGTTTCAGAGTTTCACATAGGGTGGTTATTAATGAGCAAATAATATAAATATTACGAATGGAAACATTAGGTGAATGGGTTACATTGTAACCCTGTGTCCTAACAACAAGCTACATGATAAGATATGCAGTGATGAGCCATTTGCACCAGACTAAACATAACAGAAATTTAAATACAGCCATAGAAAAGCAAAGAATAGTGCACTTTCTGCACTCCAACAAAATAGTAAGGTTTATAATCTCAATAATACATATTAAACCTCTTATGTGTTGGCTTGCACTGGAGTGACATTTCAATGGTTTATTCATTTTCAGGATCTGAGGGGAACTATCTGCTTCTGCTTTCAGTTGTATGCTAATAAATGCCATGTAAAATGGCATTCAAACTCACATTATACACATTTATTACTGAATAAAGCACACAAGGTTTACCTGAGGTCAACATTGTCATTCTGTTGTTCAGCTGCAAGAAATAGAAGGCATTTAAAAAATATAAATTTCTCCTTTTAAATGGAAAATATTCCTTCTATCACATGCCGTTGCTTTAAATGTTATGTTGTTTATTGCATTATGCACTATAATGTGTAAACCTGAAACAAAAAAAGGAACATTCAAAATGCAACTCATGTAAACAACTTAATCTTAATATTGTCTAATTCAGATTAGGGTAAATAATTAGATTACTACTGTCATTATAAATGTAGTTACTGATGCAAGGTATGTGCCATGAGGTACAGCGATCACTCAACAAGTATAAATCAGCTTTAAGGCTAAAAAATTAATTTATTTAGCAACTCCACTTGCTGGCTAATTATTCACCTCGGTTTTGTCATTAGTTACTTTTGAATCGCCCCCTGTTGTTACAAATGGTGAGTGCATACAGTACGAAAGCCTTCACAACACTATCTTGCAACTTCAAGCGGAACAAAACAGGAGTTCATGATTTGTTTGAACTTCAAAGATTTCTTAACGTTGTCCAGAATCAGCTTTTGGATAAGTTTTTTTTTTTTTTTTTGCAGAGTTCCTCCTCGTGTTAGCCACACTTTGGCTCCATGCCTCCTTATCTTCTCACTCTCTCTCTCTTTTCGTCTCCTTCGTTCCTGACCGAGGCCTCCATTGTCAGAGCAGTTCCGATGGAAGCCATGTCTCTGTGTTTGTTTGGCCCTGGTGGCTCCTCCAGCTGCTCTCGGCTGTTTTGCTTTTTGGCTTGGAGAGCTAGAGAGTGGACAGATGTTTGTGTTTTTAATCCTTTTAAGTGGAGTGGATTTGAGGTTTAGGGAGGCCGCTTTGATCGCTTTTCCTGTTTGCTCTTCTGGTGCTGTTATGATTTTGATAGAGGGGAAATGAAAAATACTAAACGGGGCAAGAGAATGCAAAAAGAGCAGACATGATGCGTTTCCCCTCTTGTAAAGTAGTGATGAAGACCAGACTTTAGACGCTTTGTTGATAGTTGTTTGCAGTTTTAATCTTTTCCTTTTTTTATTCTTCCTTCGGGACTTGTATTTTTTAACCTCACTTTTTTTTGTGAACTGATATTTTATTTAGATTTTTTTTTGTTGAGGAATTATCAGACAACCATTATTGTTAGGTATGGGTATATGTATTTTGGATTTATTATTATGTAATACTGAGATTTTTTTATTAATTAATTAATTAATATTTTTATTTATTTATTTATTTTTTATTTTATATTTTTGGATTGCTTTTAGTCTTCTAATGCTTAAAGGTTAAAGCACATTGCTAAATGTAATATTTAGCAAGTCTATCTTAAAATGTTCTATCCTGTGATGCCTAAATTAAGATTATGTGTGTGTCTATATACACAGTGCTTAGCATATGTACTGCTCACAAATCTATCTTTTAAATTCATATATTTAATAGGAAGCTATAAAATATCATATCTGTACCTATATATTAATTTAGTCAGTACTGAAGCAAAATCTGGAGCTTATCTAACAAAATAACTTAAGATAACGGTCCAAAAACTAGTACACCCAAATTTATACATTATAGAAAAATACTAAATACAAAAATAAAAAAAGAGGAAAAATCAAGAGACGCAAAAAATGTTTGTAGGTTGTAATACATTTTTTTGCAATATTTTGCATGAATTTAATTGTATTACATTTCAATTTCTAAATATGTTTGGTGACTAAAATATTGTTTCAATAAATATATCTGTTTAATAAATCTCTCTCTCCTATATATATATATATATATATATATATATATATATATGAGAGAGGGAGAGAGAGAGGGAGAGAGAGAGGTAGGTCGGTAGGTTGGTTGGTTGGTTGGTTGGTTGGTTATAGTATAGAATCAGAAATAATTCAAACTTAAAATGTAATAGTATTTCATCTTTGACCCTCTTCAGACTCCAGATCCAGACCTGTCCTCAGCCAGCAGTGAGTCTTTGCCAGCGCTGGAGAGGAGGAACGGCTTGTCAGGAGTAAGTCTGTGTGCTGAAGCCCCGCTAGAGGAAAACCTCCCTTACATTGAGCTCGCTGATAAAACCGACTTGACTGTGTGTCCTAGTGGGGGCAAGCGGACCCTAGACACTCCCCTGTCCTCTCCGGTGGCCAAGAGGCCCCGACGCAGCCCCCTCGCCCCCAGCAGCTCCCGCAAGAGGACTACCGATCGCTCCCTCCCCAGGCGCAACACCACCAAGAGTCAAAAACGGACTCCCAGCGTCTCCATACTACAGCACCGCAAAGCAGCGCTCTGTGTCTGCTGAACACAAACTCAACCTACATCTGCTCTCAGAGCTTCTGCATGATCACAAGAGTAAATAACTGTTAGCGTTTTTGTCCATGTTTCGACTGTACGTCATTGTTTCTGTTTGTAATGTAAGATTGTGTTGTTGTCGTGTGCTATCATTGGGTCATTTCTTTCCTTTCTATTTTAGTGGTGTGAATCTGAGTAAAATGTTTTACCATTTGATTTTATGGTTATTAAAAAAAACAGATCAGTCTTTGAAAGGAATATTAATTTTAAAAAAGGTATTTAATCTTTGAGATTTTAAATTATTCAAGTCTATCTTTTAAATATCATGAAGTGCTTGTACAGATTTTGAGAAAATGACCAAATAGTTGTACAAGATATATTTTTATACTTGTTATATTTTTCAAAAATGCCCACTTCTGTTTTCCCCCATGCCAATATACTTTAATTCTTTGTGCATTACATTTTCACACCAGTATTTATCATCATTGTCCTGTCAGTTTTGAGTTTAATTAATATCTTAAACTAGGTTGAGGCATATCTCTGATCACTAAACTACAGAGCAAATGTATTTATTTTTATGATAAAACCTTTGTAAACGGCAAGGACTGCATGTTCTGTTACACTCTTTGGTTAGATTTTTTTTTTTTTGACTGTGATGGGCTCCACGTTTTTCATGTGTATTTTAATATTGTGTTATTTAATATCAAAAACTGTCTGATGTAAAATGGATAACATCTTCCAACACCAGTTCCAGAGCTATAATGTGATTGTAAGGTGATGTACAGCACATTTTTAGCAGGATGTTTGTTACCCTGTGTTTGAGGGTCTGTCTTTTGAAGGAGATTTTTCCAATAAATGGTCAAGATGGCTATGAATGTGTTTTTTATCATTAGAGAGGAATTTTTACTATTTGCTATAGTGGCGGGTTTGATTTCAGCACTTCATGTGGGGTTGCCTATATGACAGTGAGAGTTTGTTGGATTTAAATACATACACAATACGTTATATTTTATTTCAAGATACAAAAAAATCTAATATATATATATATATATATATATATATATATATATATATGTACATACACATTTACAAACACACACACACACAGTTAAAGTCAGAATTTTTAGGCCCCCTATTTATTTTTATTTAATTTCTGTTTAATGAAGAGAAATCAACATATTTCTAAAGATAAAAGTTTTAATTGCTCATATCTCTAATAACTGATTTCTTTTATCTTTGCCATGATGACAGTAAATAATATTTGACTAGATATTTTTCAAGACACTTCTATTCAACTTAAAGTGACATTTAAAGGCTTAATTAGGTTAACTAGGCAGATTAGGGTTATTAAGCAAGTTATTGTATAATGATGGTTGTTCTGTAGACGAATCGAAAAAATATATAGCTCAAAGAGGCTAATAATATTGAAAATGTAAAAAACAAATTAAAAACTGCTTTTATTCTACAAAACAAATAAGTCTTTCTCCAGAATAAAAAATATCAGACATACTGTAAAAAATTCCCTGCTCTGTTAAACATCATTTGGGAAATATAAAAAAAATTAAAATCAAAAGGGGTCCAATAATTCTGACTTCAACTGTGTGTGTGTGTGTGTATACAGCCGCAACCCATTTCTGGGAAACATCCACACACACATTCACACACACACTCACAGCCTACCCAATTCACCTGCATCGCATGTCTTTGGACTGTGGGGGAAATCGGAGCACCTGGAGGAAACCCACACAAAGGCAGGGAGAACATGCAAACTCCACACAGAAACGCCAATTGAGCCGAGATTCAAACCAGCGACCTTCTTGCTGTGAGGCGACAGCACTACCTACTGCGCCACTGCCCTGCCCATACACACACATATATATATATATATACAGTTGAAGTCAGATATATAGAAAAAAAAAATCAAAAGGGGTCTAATAATTCTGCCTTCAACTGTGTTCATAGATATTCATCGGTTTTATGTTTGTATATTTTATTGCTGTTGTTGTGTTGGAAGAATTTCAGCATTTCCAGTACTTAAAGCAATACCAATCCAATCCCCCCAACCCCCACACCCACCCCACCCCCCAAAATATTTTATTTATTTATTTTGTGTGTTGTGTGTTATTTATTTTGTGTAAAGTGAGATTTATTCATTTCTATAAACTAAACAAAACAACAATAAACAAATCAATCAAATCATAATCAATCACTATTAAAAATCAATATTGTAATATTTTAGTACAATGCTTTGCACATTTTTTGCAAACTCTCTTCATTGCATTATCTCTGTCGTTGTTGCTATTAAAATGTTTACTCATTCGGTGACCAAACTGAATAATTGAGGAATTATACATTAATATTACTCTAAAGATAATATAGTGTATACCAAAATCTTTGCCATATTACAACATCAATTACAAATATGTGTTGTTGCAGCTATCATCTTCACATGATAAAAAAATAAAAATAAAATTCAGTTGATGCAATAGCCTCCCTACTGAAAAAACAGCTTAAACCAGCCTTAGCTGGTCTTAGTTGTCGCCCAGCCTGGTTTTAGAGGGGTTTCGGACATTTCCAGCCTGGTCTTTGCTGGTCAGGCTGGAAAATGACCAGCTAAAACCAGCTTGACCAGCCCAGCTAGGCTGGGAGCCCAGCCAAAGCCAGCTATGTCCAGCTTAAACCAGGATGGTCATGCTGGTTTTACCTGAAATGAAACTACAAACTACAATAAAACTACAATAAAATGTCAAAATAAAGAATAGAAACAAAATACCATAATAAGAATGTAATGTAATGTTTAGGTCTTCTTTTCCACAAAATCTGGATTACAATATCAACATGTTTTGAAAAAAAAAATGGATTACCAGGACATATATTTAAGCAATATTTTAAATTAACTAATTTCTTTAGTCTTATTAGAAAGAAAATATTTATTAGGCAACAACCGTATGTTTTCGAGTGTGTCGGCAATTTCCTCCTATAATATCCAGCTGCAGGCCCGCAGAACCACACACGTTTTAGGCACACACAATCTAGGACACACAATCTAGGCAAACCATATATGCTTACGACGGAATAAACAATAGTGTTTACTTTACTTTATTTCACAAATATTGCAATCGAAACGGCCGAATGGGGAGCATTGTTTCCGATCGCCATTCAATATAATAGACTCAACAGTTTTTAATCAGTCATTATAGCTGATCAGTCATTATTATCTGACAATAATATGGCAGATACTCGTTTGCTGGCCTTGCTGAACGATCTAATTTGGACAGGTTTAGTTTATATAATGCATACATTTTTGATGAAGGAATAATAGCAAGTTAATATTGGCAATAATACATTATATGTAATAAAAATATTTTTACATATACATGTAACAAATGTATAACACTATATTAATTTACTCAAGCGATTTAATAGTTTATTTATTTGCTTAACTTTATTAACTTATCTTAACTTTATTTTTTAATTAATGATCTTTTAATTAATGATTTCACACATTTAATACTGTAGTAATTTATAGTAAGCAATAAATTGTTTTAAAACCAAAATTTAGCAATAGGAACAAATTAACTATTAATAATAAAAAAATAATAAGTATAGCCTATATAACAACTGTGACAGATGGTAGTTTATATACAAAAACTTATTATAATCAGATAATCAGTTAAGATAATCAGTTTATAACTATATATATATATATATATATATATATATATATATATATATATATTGTTTAAATGATTAACTATAGTAGGCTAATTTATTTTAAAGTGACATATTATTGTTTGCTTTTTATATTTTACAACAAAGTGATTTTAACCAAGTATGATAATATTAAGATCTTGAATTAATTTATTACACTTAATCCAACATTAGACGGTCTATGATTTCTTTGTGTCTGTGGACACATGAATAAAGTCATAAGTGTCTTTAACCAATTATTTTTATTTAAATAATTTGAGTTCAGAAACTGCAGAGATGTTAAAATGATCATAACGATATAATAATAATAATGACTGAAATGAGAAACCATACTTGTGAAATTCAATAGGTGGCGACCATATATGGTTTGCCTAAATCGTGTGTCCTAGATTGTGTGTGCCTAAAACGTGTGTGCTGCGGGCCTGCAGCTGGATATATCTCATTTCCATTAAACGTCACTTTGATTAACAACCACTAGGTGGCGGTCGATACTAGGATATAGGAGATTACGCTGTGTTGGATTTGTAGGCGTATGCAGTAGGTTGAAACCACACCTTTTCTAACGGCTAATCTCGGAGTTTGAGTGATGGTGACACACACCTGACAGCAGCTAAACCCACACCCCCCATAATGGTGTTAACTGACAAAAAACCACTTCTGGTCTGCTGCTCCTCTTGACTGAAGAACGTGCGTGAGTGTGAATGTTTAAGTTTGCTATTCTTCATAGGGGGATATTAATGGAAAATGCCCACAGGTCTCTGACTGAAAAATACTTTTAGGACTTCATCAAATGGAAAACATACTTAAGGGATAGTTCACCCAAAAACGAAAATTTACTCACTTTTTAGTTATCTTCAACTTGTTCCAAACATTTAAGTTGCTTTAGTTATTTTATTTTTTTGAAGAAAGGTGGAAACCAGTAACCACTGACATCTATAGTAGGAAACACACATTTAAAGGAGTCAGTTGTTTCCAGCTTTCTTAACAATTCCTTCATTTGTTTTCAGCAAAAGAAATAAAGTCAAACAGGTTTGGAACAAGAGAACAGTGAGTACAAACGATGACAGAATTTTCAGTTTTGGGTGAACTGTCTGTCCCTATACAGAGCATAAACAATTTACAAGTTTGGTAAAATAGTTAAAGCTATTTCGTCAGTCCATATAAACAAATATTTCATAAACAAAATTGTTTTAAATTCGCATCCAATTATCCATTTTACAGACCTCTTTTTTCATTCGTTATTATTATTTCAGGATTTTTATGTACTCATATATGCTAGCATATACAACAAAACCTGATAACATTTTCCAAGAGATCTGTCAACAGTATGATTTGTAAAAATGTATTCATATGAATGTTAATTTATAAAAACATATTTTAATTCATTTAAAAAGCAGGTACACTATCAACTTTGAAGGATTCACAAAATTTAGGTTATTTATTTATTTAAAAAGGACTTAAATTAAAATGATATCCCTAATTTTAAACAATGGATTTAAACTATTCATTAATAAAAT